GATCTCTTGACTGCTGCTTCCGTGACTGTTGATAGTTGATCTAAGAAGAATGAAGTCCTTGACAACTTCAATCTTTTCTCCATTGATAAGAATGCTGTTTATTGGTCCAGTGGTGAGGATTTTTGTTTTCTTTACATTGAGTTGTAATCCATACGGAAGATTGTGATCTTCATCAGTAAATATTTTAAGTCCTCTTTACTTTCAGCAAGCAAGGTTGTATCATCTGCATATCTCAGGGTGTAAAGTCTTCCTCCAATCCTGACGCCACGCTTTCCTTCATAGAACCCAGCTTCTCGTATTATTTGCTCAGCAAATAATATTTGCCAATATTACCATTATTATTTATGTCCTTTTCTTTGAGAACACTGGGTTCCTACGGACCCACCTATGTCTTTGTTTGCATCTGTCTTTTGAGTAACAGAGGCCCCCTACAGAGATGCACTCATGGCTCATAAGAAGCCTTTGGCTACAACAATTTGTGCGCAAGAATAACTGGTTAGTTTACTGCCTCATTAGTGTAGTGGTTACGAATCGGGCTGTGAACTGCCAGGTCATCAGTTAGAAACTACAGCTGTTCCGCGGAAGAAAGATGAAGCTTTCTGCTCTCGTAAAGATTTACAACCTTGGAAGTCCTGTACAGGGTCACTCTGAGTCGGAACCGACTCCATGGCACATAACCAAGCATCATCCTGCACCCCTCCACTGCTTACTGAGTCAACCGTCACTAATGTATGGTGCTTTGACAACAATTTATACAAGTCCAGATAATACTCAGCAATAAATTAAGGGACAAAAATTGATACTAATGAAACAAAGATATAATTGTAGCTTAGTGGGTTATGAGTTGGGCTGCTGCCGAATCTATCAGTGCTCCAAAGGAGAAAGATGAGGCTTTCTGCTCCTGTAAAGATTTATAGCCTCAGAAACTCTATATTGGGTCACTATGACTCAGAACTGACTCCATGGCACATGACCACCACCAAACAAATATAATTTTTGAATAGTTGTGTTTTTTTTGAGATGATTTAAGATGTCCTATGGTGTGCTGTCTCATCTGCTTTTACATCTCCACATCTCCACCTATTTCTCCTGCCAACAGTTCTCTTTCTAACACAAGCCTCTACTGACTGCATGAACATTAGGGGAGAGCTTAGAAAACATCAGCCTGCAAGATGGAAGGTCATTCAACTATTAAATATGGCTCAAGGTCCATTCTCACAATTTCCCAGAAATGTGAAAATATCCTGCCTCTGGAAGGCAACACAATAGTGAAAATGGCCAAAAGCACCTGAGTCCTCCATCTGGGTCACAAATCACAGCTTCATTCCTGCGTCTACAGTGAGGGTGAGCCATCCTTCCCTGTGGACTTCTGTTTAGATAGAACTGCCTCACAAAAGGATTTGGGGGCTTACTGAATAAACTGAGTCAATGTATTTTTTAAAGCAGAGTTTCATAAAGAACAGCAACAGCAGTTACCTGTAGTTTTATTACTGAACACTCAGACATTTCTGCTTGGAAGCAATTTTGTTTCCACAGACTGGATACAGTGCTCCAATAAAAGAATTAAAACAAATAAAACCATCTAGTTCAGTACACAAGGAAGTCTGAAAAGTAGTTTTTCTTAAGAGTTTAGTTTAGCAAGAAAAGTTAAAACTAAAGCAATCGTGATTTCAATAAATTACCTGTGGCTCCTGTTTTGACAGAAATGTTGTTGATTCTACTCTGCTTCTTCTCTCAGATGCAGCTGCCAGATTGGGAAACTCTTCAGCATCCTAAATAAATGCCACACACCGTCAGCTCTTAATTTGTCAACAGAATGCAAACATGCCCAAGTGCATATTATTGCTCATAGCTTTTTCTCTTTATAAGATCCCACAAAAGTTCTCAAAGAAAATACAAAATAGTCCAAACTCTCACATAAGAGCTCTGCTTTAATCTTTAGAAAGATACAAAATTAAAGACCACAGCAGTAACTGTCTATCTGTCCCAGAAAGTGCCTCGTAGAATCTTAGTATAGCTGAGGAGTCCAGAGAACCCACCCTTCAGATTGGCATGAGAACATGCCCATATTGACCCTCACCTATGTGTATTGTTGGAGAAACCAACAAGTCCACAGTCAGGGACCAAGTATTCTATAATTATTTCTGAATGCAGATGAGAACCTAGAAAGGCAATATGCCTACTAGAAAACGCTTTTTACACCACTTAAAGATATTTTGTGCCATTTGTGTCAGTATTTAGGTGCCTTGGAGAAGACATGTAAGAAATATAGAACAACAAAAAAAAAGAATTATTCAGTGGTCTAAATCATGATGCTATTCCCAAAGGGTTATTCCAAGAGCCCTGGAATACTTTTAGTTTTGTGGAGATACCTTAGGCTGAGCACTGCAGCTGTGATCTCAGACTCTGTGCCTGACTTGCGTGTGAGGTGCAGTCAGAACCCTAGGCTGGATTCTGGGAGGGCAGGGCTCCCAAGGACCAACTACATTATTCAGTATTTCTCTACAGTAACCACATCATAATGACATTTCTAGACAGAAAAGGGAGCCTTGCCAAAGTCAGCATTCTAAAACATGGAAAAAATAGGTGAAAGTAGTAACATGGCACACAAACTACTAAATCTGATCAAAATAGTTTTGCCTTTGGACATTTCATTCATTCACTATGTGCCTGCTATGAGACAGGTTCCTGCTATGAGAAGCAAAGGTGAAGAAGTAAAGAAGACGGGTTAGTGCTCTTTTCTTTAGAACTAAGAAAATTATTAATAAAGTAAATGTTAGAGATTTTCACTTAGGAAACCAATAAGAAGCCAGGCTTTAGTATTAGACACTACTAAGAAAAACAATACATTATAAAAAAAAGTACTTCGATTCTTGGTGGCTCTTGAACTGTCAAGACTTCGTATTTTGACTTAGACTTTTCTTTCTTTTTCTTATTCTTTCTTGAGACTTCATTTTGCTCAAGATTGCCATCATCTTGTAATGCTTTGGACTACAACAAAAACAAGCAAAAAAAGCGTTTTTAGGACATTCACTGGAATACTTTAATTCCGTACTACACAAAAGTTAAGATACCAAGGTGTACAATGACATGGTCATTTTATCTATACTTAAGCTTCTCAAATCCCTATTTATAAAGAGCCAACACTTAGGAGAATGATTCTGAAGGGGGGGGGGGGGGTAAAAACTGTTAAAAGAGTTACCATGCCCAATTCATTTAGAAAACTGATAGATGAGCATGGGACAGATTTTTGTTTTCTAAAACTGTATCCTTATAGTATTACATTTATCATTTTTGTAACTAAAAAGTTATAACATATAAACTTTTAAAGGAAAAAGAACATCATCAGCCCAGTTTTGTAAAATGTAATCAGAGATAAAGTTACTAGAGATCTAAATTTTCTTCCTTATTTTTATTTTAGGAATTTAAAAAATACACTTTTCATGATTCCAAAAATCACTGGGCAAAAAGACTAGAAAAGTAAAACCAAATTTGTTAACTGCTAGAATACTAAATCCCTTTTAGGAATGTTGGCCCAGATAGTGCCTGCACAGCTGTAGGGTAGGGTGGGAGGGTCGTTGTCCAGTCTGCACACTGAACAACTCCAAGAGAGGAGTAAGAGACCTCAAAAAACATGAGGGTCTGCCGCCAGCCAAGCTTGCTCTGGAGGCCAACGGGAGGATCTCTCACCTACCCATACTGCTGTTCTTCATCGGAATTAGAAAACTGTGAGGAATAAAGGACTGATGTCTGACCCACTTTGGTGTTTACCATTTTATCTTTGCATAATCAATTAATCATAATCATAAAGACACAGCTCCTATTTATGTGGGATGAGCTATGCCATTTTCAGTTTTTTAAATGCATCTCATACTCAAAAAGAGAGGAAAGCAGCACACTAAACAAATAAGACTACATTTCAACTTAAAATAGTATATGAAAATCAAGAACAAAATCTAGACCAGTTAGTCTCCTGAATAAACAAGTACAGGGATCAACAAAATGACAATTAATGTTAGTTGAAGGGTGGGAAAAACTCAATTCTAAAGGACTACCTTATAAAACAGAAATAAATTGCAATTAACCAAGAACCAGTAACATACACCAGAGGATCATAAAATGTGGAATTCAAGTATTTTACTATCAGTACCATAGAACCAACATATATCTGTGTTGAAAGAAGTGCAGCCAGAGTGCTCCTTGGAGGCCAAGATGGCCAAACTTCATCTCTAATACTTGGGACATAGTGTCAGGAAAGAACAGTCTCTGGAGAAGGATATCATGTTTGGTAAGGTGGAGGGTCAGAGAAAAAGAGGAAGACCCCCCCAGCGAGATGGATTGGCCAAGTGGCAGCATCGATGGACTCAAGCGTGGCAACAGTAGTGAGGTTGGCCCAGGATCAGGCAGTGTTTCGTTCTGCTGTGCATAAGGTCACTATGAGTCGGCACCGACTCGATGGCACCTAACAACAACAACCCTGGCTACAGCATTCTAGACAAAAGACTAGAGAAAATAAAGGATGCCACCAATTTCTACACCACAGCAGGAATTTATTCCAGCATCTCTTCTTTAAAGAATTCCACATGGTTCACAGTTTAAAGTCACACAAAGAAAATGCATATCCCCCACACCTCATGCACAAATGCTATCATTTTTATTCTTTGATAGACAATCTATTACTTTTACAAGGTACAAATACAACAAACTCATAGTGCTAGGAAACCAGGAAAAAATGGACTATTTAGAGGCATGAAGGAGTAGCGTAATCAAAATGTAATGCATACCTTTTTAGTAGGATGAACAATATGTTTCTCTTTGTTGTAGGAAGGATCAGAAGATAAAACTTCAGAAGATGCTACACTAATAGTTTTAGGATCTGCTGATGAAGCAATTGTCTTTAGGTTTATCATGGAAGTAACATTTTTAGGGGCTGGTGACAGTTCTGTAGACAGTGTCTGCCGAACAACATAACCCATTGGTGTCCAAGATAACTCTGCTCAAAGACAACCAAAATTGTTGAACAATCTCAACAATAAAACATAAATTCCTCAGTTACTCAAACATGTATTATTCAGGGCAATAATGAAATCTGAGCTATTGTTCAACACGTCCTCTTGGAAACTACAAGGGGACTTCAAAAAGTTGGTAGAAAATTTCTATTATCTTTCCATTTCATGTGTCTGTGAACTACTGAAGTACCCCCTGAATAGCAGTCATTAAAACGTGCATGTTGAATTTTTCCCTTTAACTTTTAAGTTAATTTTCATAGAAAATGGTTTTTTTAACTTGGAAGGAGGGGTGTGCATACAATAAGTTTCAGTTACACGGCAACAATGCACAATTATGTCCATGTGGCAAACACACAGAATGAGCTGAAGATCAATTTAGGCCCTACTAACCTTGATGTGTACTTTAGCATCAGAAGTCAAAGATCATTAAACTTCAGCTATCACAATAACTGGTCATTATTTCTTTGAAAGAGAACACAGTTTTAAGTACAGCAACACTACTTTTCTTGGGTGCCCATGAATTTCTATATAGACAAAAGACCATCCATCATGACATCAGGTGACCTTTGAAAGCTGAACACCTGTCAGTAGCTCATGGCAACACAAGACATGGTTCTCATCAACAAGCTTGCAGCCAAAGTAGAGTTTGCAGCCTCAGAGTAGCCCCCAAAGTGAAGATTTGTACTGAACCACATGTAAACCAAACATAAAAATGCCCTCCTTGCCACCCACCTCCAACAACACCTAGAGATAACTGTGAAATCATTTATATAAATACTATAAATTTAAAACAAATTACTTCTTAGCTAGGATAGGACCAATCAGGAGTGTTATCTGAGGTCCTCAAGAGTCTTTCACGGGCTCCATGTCACAACTATTGTCACAGTAATCCTAATGCATGATTTGCCTTTCCCCCTCTCATCCTTCTCTCCTGAGTGAGTATGCAAGGACATGGTCCTGAGGCTGCAAGATATGTGAGAGTGAAGGAGACCCACTGAGACAGGTTCCAGAGCTGCAAAATGTACTTATTTTTCATTTTAGAAAAAACTTCCCCCCATAAAAATAGGTTATCTGTGTTATGTATGGAGTCCTAGTGTGGTGCAGTAAGGTAAGCATTGGACTGCTAACCATGAGACTGGCAGTTCCAACACACAAGCTGCTCCTTAGAAACCCTATACTAGGTCGCTATGAGTCGAAACCAACTTGAGGGTATGTAACAACTTATCACTGCTATTTTTAAAATATTTTAAATGTCTGCTTTAGCTTCTCATAGGGTAAATACTGATAGCTGAAACTTGATTTGGGACACTCAATTTTTAAGAGAAGTAAAGACCCAAAAATGTCAGATCTACTGGTATAGGTTAATACTGAAATAATAATTTCTGAGTCCACAAAATTTCTCACTGTTAAATAAACAGTTTATTTAAATTGTTTTTCTCATTTGAAACGCCTTAAAGAGAGCACTGGTTGCATAATGATTAAGCGTCTGGCAGCTAACTGAAAGTTCGGTGGTGGTTCAAACCCACAACTGGCAATTTGCTCCCATAAAGAAGCAAGGAAACCCAATGAGGCAGTTTCACTTTACCAAATAGCTTTGCTATGAGTTGGAATCTACTGAGGGCAGACAACAACAATATGCTCCCTAATTTTATTTACTTTAATTTTCTAAATTAATGTTGTTAGCTTATCAAAAACCCTAATTAATTGACTTCAAGACAACTTTATAGTAAAAACATTTCCAGTGCACTGGAGTTCAAAATGAAGCTAAAAAAGAAAGAGCCAATTTAAAAAAGAAACATCTGGTAACCACTCTTACCTCTTGTACATGAAGAGGAATCGTTAGCAGCATTATCAGCTACAGATTCAGTTGGACTTTTATTTTTGCCCACTATTTCACCCTAAAAAGCAAGCCAGTTTATCTTCTTACTATTTGAATTTGAAAGAAATCATTTGTTTTTCTGTAGTTTCCTAATCATTCTTAAAATCCACAAAGTACGTTAATTTTAAAATCAAATACATATAAGCACATCATGTAAAAAGTGAACTCACTTCTGCCAAATTTCACTTCCTATAGGAAAAAACCCATGTAGCAGCTACAGCTCAGTAACTTCTCTACTTCTTCAACCATGATACAAATGTCTTTTTTCTTTTTTCTTTTTTTAATATATGGATTTCAATAATGGAATGATACCACACATAACTTTGTACAACTCTTTTAAAAATTTACTATGCTGTAGAAAACTTTTCACATTATGGTTATTGCTTTCCCCAAGGGCTAAAGTCATAGTGATAATGTCAGGATTATGGTTAGCACTAGGATTAGGGGTATGTTTTCAGTTACGGATAGGGTTAGGTTAAGGGTTATTTGGAAAATAAAAGAAAATTGTGTTTTTTTTTATGGTTTCCAATCTCCACAAATTATTCAGTGACATAGGTTACATTCTAAAAAATGTGTGAAAATTCTTATGATTTCCACTCTGGTTGTACTGTTTCCATTCATCTAGTTTCCCAGCCTCTTCACCTTCGCATCTTTATCTGTATGTAATTGTTGAACATTTGGTCTTTCGCAGGTATTTTTAAAAGGTTCACAGTACTCACAGGTGAACATTTAAACACCAATTTGTTATCTAGCTCTGCAGGAAATCGTTTCAGTTTAGGGTTTTAAGAGAATCTCAGGGCAGCAGTCTCAGGGAGTCTTCCAGTCTCAACCAGTCCAATTAAGTCTTTTTAAAAAACAGAATTTGAAGTCCTGTTGCACATTTTTCTCCAATTCTATCTGGGTCTACCTATAGTGGCCCTGATTAAAATGATCAGTAATGGCAGCCTAGTATCATCTAGTTCTGTGTTCTCAAGGCAAACGAGGCTGTGGTTTATGTACACTGCTATTCCTGAAGACTATTTCTACTCTGAGACTTTGGTTTCCCTCTTTATCTTTCTCTTCATACAAGCAAAGACCCATAGTGTATCTTGGAAAGACACTCATAAACTTCTAAGACCCCAGACACTAGTCACTAAACTAGAATGTAGAATTTAAGTTTGTGAACTATATTAAGTCAATTGACATCTCCAGATGTCCCAGGAGACTATGGTTCTAACCCTTAAAGCCCAGAAATCCAATTACATAAGGTGTTTGATTATGGCTAATAACTGTGCCCTCTTTGTATTTTATTACAAATGTATGAAAATATGTGCATATACCACCACTCATCTGTCAGTTTGTTGTACTACGGTGGCTTATGTGTCACTACAGTGCTGGAAGTAATGCCACCAGTATCTCAAATAGCATCACGTCACCCATGGTAGACAGTTTCCACTGGAGTTTCCAGACTAAGACAGACTAGGTAGAAGGAAAAAGTGGTCCACTTTTGAGGGACTAGTTACTGGAAACCTAAGTAGCAGTGGAATATTGCCTGATATAGTGTCAGAAGATAGCCTCTCAGGTTAGAAGGCACTCAAAATATGATTAGGGAAGAGCTGCCTCTTTAAAGTAAAGTTGATATTAATAACGTGGATGGAACAAAGCTCTACAGACTTTCATTTGCTGATGGGGCACAATTCAAAATGAAAAGAAACAGCTGCAAATATCCATTCATAATTGGAATGTGGAATATGAATGGGAAGCTACCAAAAATGAAATGGAATGCATAAAGATCAATACCCTCAGCATTAGTGAGCTGAAATAAACTGTATTGGTCATTTTAAATCAGACAATTATATGGTTTACCTTGACAAGAATTCATTGTCAAAAAGAACATTTCAATATCTATTTTCAAGTACAATGCTATCAGGAAAATATACATAAGCCTAAAAGGAAGACTAGATAAAATAACGACAATTATGCAAATTTACACACCAGCCACTAAAGCCAAAGAGGAAATTAAAAACTTCTACTAACTTCTTCATCTGAAGTTAATCAAACATAAATCAAGATATACTGATAATTACTGGTGACAAGAATGCAAAAAAGATGGAAAGAGAATCATCAGCAGTTGGAAAATACGACCTTGGTGAAAAAAATGATGCCAGAGATTACATGATAGAATTTTGCAAGACCAACATCGTATTCATTGCAAAACCTTTATTTCAATAACAAACAGCATAACAGCATAATTTTAATTAATGGATTAAATATACAACAATCAAATCAACTACATCTCTGGAAAGAGACCACAGAGAATGTCAATATCATCACTTAGAGCAAGGCAAGGGGTCAACTATGGAACAGACCATCAATTGCTCTATGCAAGTTCAAGCTGACAAACTGAAGAAAATTTAAACAGATCCATGAAAGGCAAAATATGACCCTGAGTACATCACATCTTAATTTAGAGACCTCAAGAATAAATGTGACACACTGAATACCAATGACCAACGACCAGATAAGTCTTAGGACGACATCAAAACCATCATATGAAAAGAAATAAATAAGTCATTAAAAACACAGGAAAGACAGAGAACAAACAAGATGGCGGATCGGGTGGAAGTGTTGTAAAGAGCTCCGCCAGCAACAACACAGAATACTGGACAAAGCAGTCTCAGGAGATGGTCCCAGAACTCTGAACCACATATAAAGGAATATTTAGAAGACTGGAAGGCATACAGCTGGGAAATTTGTGGCAGAAGCAAGAAACCCATTGCTTTCTAGCTCAGAACGCTCAGCTGCTCCAGGAGCCGCCATCTTGGTTGAGAACAAGCGGGGGAAGGATCGGAGCTGCCACAGACACTTGGCAGAACCGCAGAGATAAAGGTGTGGACAGTCTTTTCTTTTGACAGCTGTTCATTGGTCCCTTGCTGTCTGCGTACCTCCATTCTGGTGACTATAGGGGTGCCTGAGCTAGTGGGCACCCCAGCCCCACCCTCGGAGGGTTCTACTACTCATGCACACAGATATCCTCGAAATTTAAAGAGACAGTTTCCAATGAAAACCAAATAGCCACAGCCGGCCCTGAACTGTTTACAACTAGAAAAAAGGCCTGAACGGGGATTATGGAGCGGGACAAGCATGCAAAAAAAGAAATAAGCAGAATATTAAATCCTAAGTTACGTCAAAACGACCAACAGTGATATCTTAAAATTTCTCAAGAAGAAGAGTGAAAAGGGAAGCCCATTTCCTGATCACATCTACGTGGAGACAATCAGAAAGCATAAAAATTACCAAAATACATACCCATCTAAGTAGTAATGCCACAGATATGCCCGAAAAACAGAAGCAGATGACCATATCTGTACATGTCCAGAAACGAGATAAAGTGACTGAGGCAAATGAGCTGGAAGTAGACCTACACTCCATACTGGAAGATGGGCAGGCTTTGGAAATGCCGGAGAAGAAATTCAGAAAAATGATTATAAAATCTATCAAAACACTATACAATGGAGTTGAGAAAAATAAGAAAGAAGTCAGGAAAGTGCTACAGAAACAATCAAATAAGACAGATAGAGCATTGGAAACAATTCAAAACCTACAGAAAGATGTCCAAATGATTAATAATAGAATATCAGAAATGGACAATATACTGAAAGGGTAAAGGAGTAGAATTGAAGAGACACAGAAGCCAGAACTAGTGAGCTAGAAGATAAATTTCTCAACACTACTAAGATAGAAGAACAAACACAAAAAAGTTTAAAAAAAATCGGAAGAAGGCCTAAGATTCATGCTGGACATCATGAAGAGGAGTAACATAAGAATTAATGGCATTCCAGAACAGGAACAATCACACAAGCCCACCGAGGAGATAGTTGAAGAGCTTCTAGAAGAAAATTTTCCTAACATCATGAAAAGTGAAAACATAAGCATTCAAGAAGCTCAACAAACCCCAGAATGGTTAGACCCTAAAAGACAATTACCAAGACATATAATAATCAAGCTCTCCAAAATCAAAGATAAAGACAGCATCTTGAAAGCAGCTAGGGAAAAGAGAAATATAACATACAAAGGCAAACAAATCAGATTAAGCTCGGATTTCTCAACAGAAACCATGTAGGCAAGAAGGCAATGGGGAGACATATATAAAATCCTGAAATAAAAAAAACTGCCACCCAAGAATCCTCTACCCTGCAAAGCTGTCAATCAAATACAATGGTGTAATCAAAACATTCCAGGACAAGCAGAAGCTAAGGGATTTTGCCAAAGCCAACGCTTCTAACAAAAACATCCTAAAGGAAGTTCTGTGAACTGAGAACCAACAAGAACAGACAACAACTACAGAATGATGTACATGGCAGCATCAACCTGAACTCAGTTGACAAATGGAAGAGTTAAGAACAGAATAAAATTATAAGAACAGAGGATCTGGGAGTTCAGTCTATGATAAAAACAATTACAATGTGAAAAAAAGGTAAAAACAGAGGAAGAGAGAGTCAGGTGGTGAGAAGGTCAGGTAGATTACTGGATAAAATAGACTATCTTAAATGGAAGGTAACCACAATGGGGTTGGGGTGGGGGGTTTGCTTTGGGTGTTGGGGAGGGCAATACAAGAAGTGGGGAGGTGGCAAAAGAACAAAATAGATAAGGGAACACCGAGATAGGTCTGCATGGTCTAGTGGGACAGAGGGAAATAGTGATGCATACTCAACCTTGGAACAACATGGCTCTGGGATACAGGGATCTAGGTATAGCTTGAAGAGGGTAAATAATACTAAAATCCTTGACTGCCTTATGAATATTAGTTTCCCTTGTCTACTACTGTAAAATAGACACTTGAGTGGGACAGAAAGGAATGTTGGGAAACATGATTAGAGAAAATGTAAGCCTGCCTTCAGCCTATAACTGATTGTTGTTGTTGTTGTTAAGTGCCGTCGAGTCGTTTCCGATCCATAGCGACCCTGTACAGGGTTTCCGAGGCTGTAAATCTTTACGGGAGCACAACGCCTCATCTTTCTCCCACGGAGCGGCTAGTAG